GTTTAAGCTTTGAAAGTAGACTTGTTCCCAAAACCCTGCTAGTTAAAATAAAATGAATTGTTATATAAATTAAAACCTAGTAATATCTTAACATATTTTAACTTAAATGTAACATCTTTTAGAATGGAATATTCTTTGTAAGGAGGAGCAGTTTTAGACCATTAAAGTAGCTCCAAAATTCACATAACAAAACCAAGAACTTATAGTATTTTAAAGTGAAAACTATATTAAAACACATTTTGATAATTGACCAAACAGGCTTGTTATATTTTTAGTTGGGAAAATCCACATTGTTTTTACTTCTTCTATCTTCTTAAGTCAGTTAATAATATTTCTATTGTTAAATGCAATTTATATTAGCATTTTATATGCTTCTATAGGAAGCTGACAAGATGACTTTGCATATGTGTAACAATATTTTTATTTGGAAGAATTAAAATTATGTGAATGCTTAAATGTAATAGTTTTGAGGAATTAAATGAAACAATTTTAGTCTCCACTGCATTGGTCACAGGCTAAAGGCATGCTTTCTGAATCAGGCTCACTGTAGCTAAATGCTTGCACCATAAATAGGACAATCACATGTCCTTCTAGCCATAAGCTCTTTTGCAGATGACATTTTGAATATTGTGAGCCTACCTTAGTTTTAACAATCTGTTTTTGTACCAGCTGCTGTATTTTCTCCGTCCTTCTCAAATCAGAAGGAGATAAATGGATTTGAGATGCATCAGAAAACAACTGTATACAGCCAGATCATTTGAGATTTGAAATCTGATAATGCCCTAATTAGTATAAGGAGATTTTGAATGCCCACAGTAGTCTTGAATTTGTGTACATGATGTTACTCAGATTTTAATTTCCTTGTTTTTCTTTCAAACTTGACTTTGTATATTGTTTATATATTTTGAGAATTTGGCTTCAGACATTTGTGCTACTTTAATTAAAAGGTACATATAGTGTGCTGTCACTATATTGATTTTTACAAGATGAATTTCTAATTATATTATGTATTAGTAGTCACATTTTATTATTCACTTTAGTAACTAAGAACTTTGAAAGCATTTTGAAGCATCCAGAATAAAGAGTCCTACATGCCACCACTTCAAGGACATAAGGACAGTCTTAAAAGCCATTGTTGTTACCTTCGCCTCATGTATGTGCTATTATTCTGGTATTAGAAGATTCCTTTTTTTTTTTTTTTAAATTTAGATATTAATGCTTCAGGTCTTTGGCTGTAACTCTAAAAGAGCATTATCAGGGATTTCATATGTAGAAATCATCTATTTAGTTTAACTCCTTCACTTCAGAGATCTGGGAACTGAGGCCCAGTTTTTACAGGTGCCCTGGCTCAGTGCTTCTCAAACTATCTGTGGTAGAGAATCATTCTTTTTTCCTATCCCCAATGCATGACAGGCCATTCATTTTGTAAACTATAATAAAAATGAAGTACTAGAAAAAATAACTTTAAAATGACATGTATAGTTCTAAATGCTTCCTCTTAATTTCAGTGTTTATCTCAGTGTAGATAGATTACAGAGTTCTGAAACTAGTCCATAGACTTCACTTTGTACTAGTACAGTGGTCAGCAAACTCATTAGTCAGCAGAGCCAAATATCAACAGTACAACTATTAAAATTTCTTTTGAGAGCCAGATTTTTTAAACTTAAACTTCTTCTAATGCCACTTCTTCAAAATAGATTCACCCAGGACATGGTATTTTGTGGAAGAGCCACACTCAAGGGGCCAAAGTGTCTCGCAAGCCGCAGTTTGCCCACTAGTTTATCACTGCCTTAGGTCGGGGTTGGGAAAGCATGGTCCATGGGCTTCATCCAACTTGTTTTTTGTATGTCCTGCAAGTTAAAAATTATTTTTACATTTTGAAGTGATTTTTGAAAATTTATACAAAATTCATATTTCAGTGTGTTTAAATAAAATTTTAATGAAACACAGTCACGCATTCTTTTAAGTATTGTCTGTGGCTGCTTTTCCCCTGTAATATTGGGGTTGAGGCAGGGATGAGTAGTTGAGAATGAGACCATATGGTCTATTGAGCCTAAATATTCCTGTCTGGCCCTTTACAGAAAATGTTAAGATCTGAAGATCTGGCTTTAGAACAAAATAGTAGTTAGTGATAGAGTTGAGCATACAAACAGGGTCTACATTTTTAAGAATGTGTTTTAAATATTAGCTGATAAATATTATGCCACTTTTATTCTCATTTAAATCTCTCAATAATTCCTTTTTATAAAAGTTAGGTAAGTTTAGATCTCTCTGATCTAGTTTTGGATACCTTTTTTGCCTCTAAAAGTCTTAACTCTATTAGTGTGTTATTATTTTTTAATTCATATCTGGTGAATTAAAAATGGTTAAGTATTTTCTAACGTGGATTTTGTTATCAGCATCTGGTTCAGAATACTCAGCTTCTTTTTCCCTGTTACACGTTATTCTATAGTGGATGTTTCTGTGTTCAGGTCCAACGAGAGAGTTTAGGTAAACATTTTAGAAAAACATTATTTCTAGTAAAAAGATTGCTCCTTTAAATATCTATCACCTAAAGAAAAGCAATACTGCAACTAAACTTTAGTGGCAGGTTTCTATTGTAAAATAGTAAAGATATAATAGGTGAGGTCCTGGTTACAAGAAAAACGATTGAAATTTTAAGTGACTTTGGGAGGAACAACAGACTTTCAGTGTTTTGCCTCTACCACTCATTAAGCTGCAAAACAACAGTTCCCATCATAGTGTTGTCAAGCCAATATGTCAGTTAACATATTGCTTTATTTCTTTTTTTAATATATTTTTATTGATTTCTGAGAGGAAGGGAGAGGGAGAGATAGATAGAAACATCAGTGATGAGAGAGAATCATTTATCGGCTGCCTCTTGCATGTCCCTTACTGGGGATCGAGCCCGCAAGCCAGGCATGTGCCATTGACCAGAATTGTACCCAGAACCTTTCAGTCCGCAGGCCAACGCTCTATCCACTGAGGCAAACCAGCTAGGGCTATTTCTTGATGTATGCAATAAAAAACCGCTTTTCATGATAGATGTTAATTCTTTTTTTTTTTTTTTTTTTTTTAATATATCTTATTGATTTTTTACAGAGAGGAGGAGAGAGGGATAGAGAGTTAGAAACATCGATGAGAGAGAATCATCGATTAGCTGCCTCTTGCACACCCCCTACTGGGGATGTGCCCGCAACCACGGTACATGCCCTTGACCAGAATCGAACCTGGGACCTTTCAGTCCACAGGCCGATGCTCTATCCATTGAGCCAAACCTGTTTCGGCGAGATGTTAATTCTTTGTTTTCCTACCTTTGTATGTGATCACTCAGCAATATATTGCTATAAAGATATAGCAATAGCTGTCAGCTTTACATTTGATACACGAGCTGCTTCATGATAAGGACCCTTTAAAAGCTGAATCTTGATTTTGTTTTGTTTTTTTCTAAAATAAAATAAAAAATTATTGCTGAGCTAGCTTACTCATTATGATGAAAGTAACTACAGTTTGATATTGTGTTACTTGCTATTTTATTCTACTTTTAAGTCAATTTGTAAATAATAATTATGTTCTTGCTTGATGAAAAATAACATAAATGAGAATAAAATAATATAGGAAGTTTTCGAAAAATCTCACTGTATCTTTTCAGGCCATGGCTAGTTCTTCTTTTCCCAAATCTGAGAGTGCCAAAGATTTAATGCAGGAGATGCTGGTAAATACTGCCCAGCAGCTGTGTCCTAATTCTAGATAGGGCTCTTCCTTTGTATGTTATAACAAAGTCATTGACTAGATGGCCATGCATTAAAGAAAGATGAAATGCTTAATATATAGCAGGACTTATTATTTAGCCACAGGAGAGGGTCACCTTTCAAATATTCCAAAAGAATGTAAGCTTGGAACTATTAATGCATGAAATTTTGGGACTCATGAGCAGTAGGTGTTTTTAGACATTTTATATAACACATTTTAAAATATTTATTTGAATGAAATATTTCTGTTTTGTTTTAAATTTATGCTACACTGTAGTGGTAAGTGGTAACAACTGTCTCTTCAGGAGTATACAAAATCTTAAACTATTTGAACTATTAGAATAGCTTGTGATTGACCTTTGCTTATTTGGGCTAGTTTTTAATATATTTATTAGTTTAACCATTGGTTGGGTCTTCTCCCCGGCCCCACATACCAGATGTACAGGTAGTTAAAAAATGTTTGGGGTTAACACATTTTTATATCTGGTTTTTACTTAAACATTGATTGTCTTTTAGGAGCCCCCATTATCTAAGCAATTTCTATAGCTACTTTCTAACCAGTATAGCACGTCCCACATTTATTCCTTAGCATATATTATAGTGATTGAGTTTCTGTTTCTAAAAAATTTTGGTAGAAAGAATTAATGTGGAAAGCAGTTTGTTTTTTTGCAGCTTGACTGCAGGGGACCCGAGTTGCATGCATTACTATGTCTGTGAAACTTCTTGGAAGCAAGCCAGTATGTTAGGGTGAGCGATTCATATGTAAGCGGTGAGCCACTAAAAGGCTTGCACAATATTACAACTCTTCTGAGAAGAGGAAGTGTTAGGAAATTCAGCAGTAAAGCAGCAGCAGCAGCAACAGCAACAAGCAGCCACAGTGAAAGTAAAGATAGGGCAGGTTCACTGTTAGCGTATTGCACAGTGTGAGGCAGTGAGCATGCAGCTCCCCATCCTGCTGCCAGAAGGAGGCAAACCCAAACTGTCTGTTGCAAGATTTTTCTGGTTTCATGTTTATGATGTTAAGTCATGTGATAATACTGTACCATAAGTTGCCAACTTTGCTTTACTGTAGAGAGGATCCTTTGCTGCAGTGCTTTTTCCCCCATTCTTTTTCTTTTTTTTTCTCTTAAAAAAGAAAAAAAAATTGTGCAATGTATGTGTATGCCCACACCATGCCGAGACGACACTTACCGGTAAATAATCTTTGTATCCCTGAGGTAAGATACTGTTTCTGCTTTCCCTGCACAGTGCTGCTGCAGCACGGAGCAGATCCAAACATTCGGAACACTGATGGGAAATCAGCCCTGGACCTGGCAGATCCTTCAGCAAAAGCTGTTCTTACAGGTAAGAAAACCAAGAGCTACCGAATTAGTTCATCTATGTTACTGGTTTGATTTTAGAAAATCTTTATGCACTGAATTTTATTTTGTTTCTACTGATTAAACTCAACAAAAATATGTGCCATTATCTCTACTTCATTTTTTATTTGGTATGTTAACAGTCTCATTAATTGCTATGCCTGCTCTTACAAGCATTAAGCAATAGGATTGTTTATTCTAGTTAGAATTTCTGAGAATTATAGCATTGAATGGTAACATATCATTCACTAATGTTGTAGTCATTTTTTATTGTTTAGATCGTAACCTCATCTTCTAGTTGACTCTTTTGAAGACCTTCACTATGGAGCAAACAAGGGCATTTGTATTACTTTATATAGTTTTGATTGGAAAGACAACCTGCTACTGTATTTATTTAGATCAATAGTTAAATAATATATGATGCTGCTTTTTCCTTGCCACCCTGCTTATATTTTTGTTGTATCTTCTCACTTTATCATGTTACCTAACTACTTTTTTTAACTTGTCCGTTTTACTTCAGATAATGAAAATTTTTGGCTTCACTATTGATTTAATTAAGACAAATGTCAAGAACCAGCAAAGAGGAAAGGATATCTCATAATTAGTATAGAAAATAATGTTCTAAGTAATATGGCTTTGAGCAACTGTTTTCATTGATCTTCATTTCTCAAAATGCTGCATTGGATCTATTTTTGTTTTTATTCTTAACATCTGAGTTTTGCTGCCTTTGCCTTCTTTTACTTAACTGACCTTTGTAATTTGGAGCCTCTTTGTCACTGCATTGCTCAGAGTATTGTTGTAAGTGCTTGTGTGGAAGTAAATGACTTTTTGCTTCCTTTACATTTGCCCATATTTGAAGAAAGTAAATCGTTGGTTCACTTTTAAGTTTGACGTCATGCTGTGCATTTTTAACAAAGATTCTGAGGTGAATAGAAAACATTTATATACAGAAAGCTTTGAAAATATGCGGGATTCTGGTTAATTATTCTGTATAGAAGATAACTTCCCACTGTGCTAAAAATTAATATAATCTCTGCTAAATCAGAGTAATATGATTTTTCTCAATTAAAAGGTTAGTTGATTGGGATACTGAACCAAGATAACATACACTAGAGAAATAAAGCTATTTTAAACCAGTGTAGATAAGAAATTTAAGTATAATTATAAAATTTTAAATAATGAAATTAAAATATACAGCTTCAGGCTTGCTTAGGCTCTGCAGCCTTTCACTGTCTTCTTTTAACAATGCCCTGGCAACAATCGCAGCTTTGGATTGGTCTTTGACGAAGGGAGAAATATGGTTCAGAGTAATGGAGGTAGACTATAAATGCTGACCATGACTGTCTCTATATCTGCGTGTCCTCCTTATGACCTTTTTTCTCTTCAGCCTTCAACACCTGTCATGTCCATTTGTTAGAATCATTTAATGCAACACTGCTTTTAGATCCATTTTTCTAAGAAAAGGTTTTAAATATAAGTTAATTAACAAGAAGAAGTTACCTCTTAATTTGGAATGAATTTTAGGTGAGATCATCTTGGGTGTTTAAGTTTGGGAAAGAGCTGTGACATAATCCGTCACGTAGACTAAAGATTTCTGGAGAACAGATATTGTATCTATTTGTTAGACTTGATTGGAAAAGCATCTATTATTGCATCTTGTTTAGATTAGCACGATATTCATTCTTCTTGATCATCATACTGTTCATTAATTATTCTTTTCAAGAATATTTACTTTTTTGGAACTGACATACAACTTTTCAGTTATGATTTAAAAAACATTCTAGAACATTCTGGTAGTAGTAATTTGTGGAAAATATAAGCTAATGATATTTACACATTCATGTTATATAATGTAATGAAATAACACAAGTGAAATGTATTTCCATATGTATTTTTGCCCATGCAGGTTCTCTTCTAAGCAATTCTTTGGAATTATAGTGGAAGTACTATTTCTGAAGCTAAATTGAAAAGATTAAGCATTGATAAAAGGGAATCTTTTGAAAGGAATGACTTAGAGTTATTAGAGAGTAGAGGCTGTAGGTTTGTATGGTGTTGGCTGTAGGTTTGTCATATGGGGCTTTTATTATGTTGAGGTATTATCCCTCTATTCCCACTTTGCTGAGAGTTGTTTTTTTTTGTTTTGTTTTTTTAATCAAGAAAGGGTGTTGGATTTTGTCAAATGCTTTTTATGCATCAATTGATATGATTATGTGATTTTTGTCTCTTAATTTGTTTATGTGATGTATCACATTTATTGATTTGCGGATATTGTACCATCCTTGCATCCCTGGAATAAATCCCTCTTGATCATGGTGCATGATCTTTCTAATGTATTGCTGAATCCAGTTTGCTGGAATTTTGTTGAGTATTTTAGCATTTATGTTCATCAAGGATATTGGCCTGTTGTTCTCTTTTTTGTGGTGTCTTTATCTGGTTTTGGGATTAGGGTAATTCTGGCTTCATAGAAAGAGCTTGAAAGTGTACCTTCCTCTTGAATTTTTTGGAATAGTCTGAGGAGAATAGATTTTAGGTTTTCTTTGAATGCTTGGTAGAACTTCCGGATCAGGACTTTTGTTTGCTGGAAGATTTTTGATTGCTGTTTTAATTTCTTTAGTAGTTATCAGCCTATTCAGGTTTTTTGATTCTTCTTGGTTGAGTTTTAGGAACTTGTATTTTTCTAAGAATATGTCCATTTCATCTAGGTTGTCCATTTTGTTGGAATAGAGTTGTTCATAGTATTTTTTCATAATTATTTGTATTTCTGTGGGATCAATGTTACTTCACTTCTTTCATTTCTGGTTTTGTTTATTTGGGTGCTCTCTCTGTTTTTTTGCTGAGCCTGGCTAGAGATTCATCAGTCTTGTTTATCCTCTCAAAGAACCAGCTCTTGGTTTGGTTGATCCTTTGTATTTTTTTTTTTTTTTTTTTTTTTTTTTTTTTTTTTTTTTTAGTCTCTATGGCATTTATCTCCTCTCTGATCTTTATTGTTACCTTTCTTTTGCTTGTGCTGGGCTTTTCTTGTTGCTCTCTTTCTAACTCTTTGAGTTGTAGGGTTAGATAACTTATTACCATTGTTTCTTGTTTTTGAGGTAGTCCTGTAAGAGTTGTGAACTACCCTCTCAAGACTGTTTTCACTATGTCCCATAGTTTTTGGATTGTTGTGTATTCATTGTCATTTGTTGCCATGATGCTTTTTATATCTTCTTTGATCTCTCTGGTAACCCAGTCATTGTTTAATATCATACTATTTAGCCTCCAGGTGTTTTTTATTTATTTATTGTTTTTATTGTAGTTGATTTCTAGTTTTATGTCATTGTGATTTGAGAAGATGCATAATATGATTTCTATTTTCTTGAATTTGAAGAGACTTTGTGTCCCAACATATGGTCTATTTTTGAAAATGACCCATGTGCACTTGAGAAGTACCGTATTTTCCGGTGTAGAAGACGACCGGGCGTATAAGACGACCCCCTAATTTTATAGTTAAAACATAGGTTTAGGCCTATATTCGCTTTGTAAGACTATCCCCCACTTCCGAGGCAACACCAATATTTTTAATAGACCGCCTCTCTAACTCGGCCAATCCAAGCAGGCTTTTTATGCAGGCAAATTATACATGTTCTGTACCCGAAGCTACAATGTGTCCTAGTAAAAAGCCTGCTCAGATTGGCCAGAGTCAGAGAGGCGGTCTATTAAAAAAAGAACTGGTGTTGCCCCAGAAGTGGGGGGGGAGGGGGGGTAGTCTTATACAGTGAATATAGACCTAAACCTATGTTTTATCTGTAAAATTAGAGGGTCGTCTTATACGCTGGAAAATACGGTATGTAAATTCTTTGGCTTTGGGGTGAAATGTTCTGAAGATGTCAATTAATTCCATCTGATCTAGTGAGTCATTTAGGATTAATGTTTCTTTGCTAGTTTTTTGTTTAGAGGATTTATCCAGTGGTGATAGTGGGGTATTAAAGTCCCCTACTATGACTGTATTGATGTTAATCTTTTCCTTGATATCCTACAGAAGTTGTTTTTTGGGTTTTCTTTTTATTATAATTATTTTTTATTTTTTTTTAATGTATTTGGGTGCTCCTGTATTGGGTGTGTGTATATGTTTACCAGAGTTGTATCTTCTTGTTGAATTTCTCTTTTTAGTATTATGAAGTGGCCTTCCTTATCTTGTTATATCCTTCACTTTGAAATCTAATTTGTCAGATATAGGTATTGCTACCCCAGCTTTTTTTTCATTTCCATTCACCTGAAATACCTTTTCCCAGCCCTTCATAAGTATGTGAGAGTCCTTTTTTCTGAGTTGGGTTTCCTGGAGACAGCAAGTATATGGGTCATGTTTTCTTATCCACTTGGCTACCTTATATCTTTTGAATGGGGCATTTAATCCATTTACATTTAAATTTATTATTAATTAGAGGCCCAGTGCACAAAATTGGTGCACTGGGTATGGGGAGGGGACAAGGGGGACCTCATCCCAGCCTGCATCCTCTCCAATCTGGGACACCTTGTGGGATGTGTGATTGCCGGTTTAGACCTGATCCCACAATCCAGAACTGCTGGCTCGCAACCACTCACCTGTCTGCCAGTCGGATCACCCCTAACCACTCCCCTGACAGCCTGATTGATACCTAACTGCTCCCTGCTGGCCCAATTACCCCCAATTGCCCTCCCCTGCTGGCCCCCAACTGCCCTCCCCAGCTAGCCCAGTAACCTTCAACTACCCTCCCCTGCTGGCCCAGATGTCCCCCAACTGCCTTCCCATGCCAGCCTGGTTGTCCCCAACTGCCCTCCCTTGCTGGCCTGGTCACCCCAAACTGCCCTTCCCTGCAGGCCTGATCGCCCACAGCTGCCTTCCCCTGCAGACATGGTCCCTCCCAACTTTTCTCCTTCCCCTGCAGGCAAAGTTGCCCCCAAACGCCCCCCCTCCCCTTCAGCCATCTTTGACCACATGGGGGCAGCCATCTTGTGCAAGGACGTGAGGGT